GGTCAATGATAAAATTGACTTTCAGTAGGTCTAATACGGTCGCTGTACTGCTGCGAATACATTGCCTAATCCCGAGAAACATATCAATATTTTTTTCAAAGAAACATTTGTTTACTTTACGGTGGTGTACATAAATTGTACACAAATCTTGAACATTTTATTATTAATTCCTTCTTATCCAATAAACAGTGTTATCACCTTAAAAAAAAAAACACGAAATTGGTCTTGACTTCTTTTACATTCAGATCCCGGCCATACAACAAATGAACTTTTTTGTTAATTCAAATTTAAAATTTTTTTTTTTTTCTCTTTAAGTATGTATCCGCAACAGTCCTGGTATTGACAATCAGCAGATGTGTTGTTATAAAATAAGGATTGACATTATAAGCATGATGAAGAATAGTACTCTGCAGCACCTCTTCTTGGTCATTATTTACTTCCTTGATTTAAGTGAGAAGATCTCTCATCCAGCTCCTTTTTAATCTCCTCCTGATGGACATGTCAGTCGTGCACATGTCGTTTATAAGTCTGTTTGTGAGTCCATATAGTTTGAGATGAAAACTAAAGCAGTAAGTACGTATGTGTTGGTTTATATTTGGTTGTCTTAAGTCGTTATGTAATGTTTTTTTGTTGACGTACCAGGGATTTGGATTTAAATAACTCTAGTTTTTTTATGTCGGTTTTTTTTTCCAAATCCAAAATCTGAGAGGTGTATAAATTCAAATTTAAAATTCAAGAAACGTAATTTATTTTGTATTTTAAATATGTAAAATAAATTACCAAATAGAATAGGCTTCCAATATTATATGCTGATCGTCCACCACAAAGTATTTTTTATCTGTTTTTTTGGTAGTTAAAATACAAAATACATTTAATATTTTGTATTGAAATAAGTTTTCTGAAAACGCTTTAAATACTTTTAAATTAAAATACATCTTATTTTAAAATAATATTAAAATACACTGTGCCCAGGATTTGGAAAAAAAAGTGAATAAAGTAATTTAAGTCGTCTGTAAAGGATCTTCCGTTTCATCTTTTTCATTTGAGTTCTATGTCATCCTTCTGTCAAAGGTGAGTCCTAGTCCTGTAGGTACCGTGTCCGTTCCAGGAATTTGGCAGACAATTTAATTAAAAACAAAAGGGGGCAAAACAAACTACGTCAAAGCAGATGGCGGAAGAATATTCATTCAAATAGTATCAGTGACCATTAAATTAAACAGCAGTTCTCAAACAACATAAACAGTTAAATGTGAGGAAGCTATATTTATTCTAACTTAGTTTGTCATCTCTTCAAAAACTAACAACAAATCGAACTATCCACAAATGGGGAAATAACAACATTAGCCCAGAGGAACACCACTATTGTTCATGGTTTGTGAAACGTGTAAATGCGGCTTTTCGCTTACAGTCGAGTCATTTGGTGATGGGATGTCGATCCAGGAAAAAAATGCTGAAGATTTTTTCCTGATGGCTCTATATATATTTTTTAAGGTGCTGAATCTGAAAATCGAATTATAGACTAGATTTTGAATATGACTTCACCATAAAAATAGCAAAAAAACACTTGAAATTCCGGAAGTAGTTTCAGCTTGTCACGTATAACTACGAAACGACGTATCCTAGAAAAAACATAACCTGAATCAACAAGAAAGTTGAAATTTCCTGAAAAATAAAACTTTAGGGCGGTCTAAAGTTTGATAGCATTGAAATTATCTGATTAGTCCAGTCGAATAGTAATTGGATGGGAAACAATTAAAATTGTCGGTTTTTCTTCAGTTTATTATGTTTTATGGAATGATAATTCTCAATTTTATGTAATGAATTTTTTCGAGAGATCCTTAGATTATGAGTTTTGGGCAAAAATTGACGAAAACAGACTTTTATTGCGGAAAAAGCAAACCGGCAACATGCCCTAACTCTTCACTCGTTGGTCTTACATAAAAAAAACAAAAAAAAAAAACCTATTTATAAAATTGAGAGAAAGATTTATCTGATTCAACTTTGCAGTTAATAATCATTTCGATAAAATTCATGGTTCCGGAGTCATGTTCAAAAATCTAAAAAAAAGTTGTGACTTTTCCCATTTTTTTTTTTTGCATATATCTCGGAACGCAATGTAAAATTTCGTTCGGGAACATTTAATTCAGATTCAGCATCACAGAAACATATAAAAACCGAAGAGGAACCGACTATTTGAATTTTTTCTCCATCCAGCTACCATTCAACTGGATTAATTTGATGATTGACGATGTCAATCTTTAGTCCGCGCTAGCAGTCAAACGAAAAAATATAGCCAGCTGGTAGGAAATTTTATCAGCTTTCCTTTTGACATAAAAATATTGGACCGTTTGGCATGATCTCAATCACCAACATATCAAAATAACGAGGTTATATAAACTAAACGGACCAATATGTATGTAGCACCTTTTTTCTCGATTTCGTGATCAATTGGAAAGCAAATAGATATTCATTACTCTTTAGAACCTCATTAAATTAATTAATTTATTGAGAAAACGCCTCATGTCCGAGAATTTTCCTAGATGAAAACTTTACCAAAAGATAAAGTCTTCGCGAAGTATTAGAAGGATGTTAATAATTTTACAAAATCAAATAACTTGAGCATTTTTTTAGAATAGAAGACATATAAATTAAATGATTGTGGAAAAGTCTGAAAGTTCCAGATGATCCTAATAAGGAACAAATCATGCTGTAAAACTTATTTTATTTAATATTTCTAGAAAATAGAAAATTTGGCTTTAGGAAATTAAACTAGATAAACATAGTAAAAGTCCCCTCTTCGAGGTGGTAAGTCAGAGTGCCTTAAAGTTAAAGTTCTCGGTTATATCAGAAAAATTATCTAGCAAATCCACAATGACATTCTATACAAAATAAAAACTGATGAAATTTGCAATATTACTGATTATATACATTTTTTTCGTTACCTTGCTTAGTTTCCGAGATATCCGTTTTCAGCTATGGCTAATTTTGAAAAAAAAAAATATGCTCAGGTTTATTGCTGTTTTTCGAGTTTTCGCTTATATCAGGAAAACTATCCATCGCATCGACAAAAACGTCCTATACAAATTAGAGCTAATAGAATTTGCAATATGAGAGATAATATACTATTTTTCGCTATCTTGATTCGTTTCCGAGATATCCGTCCTCAATAATTAGTAATGTTGAAAAAAAAATTCACCCCAAGTTTTTTACTGTGTTTGACTAGCTAAACCTTTACTGCTTCGTTCTACGATTAATTTATAGAAATAAATGTTTATATAATTAAATGAACTTCAAGAATATCCATTATTTTAGTGGTTTACGTTGAAGATAAACTAGTAAAATCATATAACCTTGTTTTAATAATACCCCACTTATGCCTGTTGAACAAATCCGATCCCTAGTACTCCACCTGGACAAACGTCTAACCTGGAATCCTCATAACAGACTGAAACGTCATGAAACGTTTCCGACTACTTCAGCACTTACTAGACAAACGCTCTTAGCTTATAATTAATTACAAAAGACTCATATACCTAACTATAATAAGACCTATTTGGACATGCGGAATTCAGCTATGGGGCTCCACAAAAATATCGAATTCCTCTCGTATCAAATCTTTACAGTCCAAAATTCTTCGTAAAATCCTTAATGCTCCTTACTTTGTAACAAATAAAATAATCCATAACGACCTGAATGTTCCATATGTTTCCGATTTGGCACAATCCAGATACCTATCCTTCCATAAGAAACTTCAGAACCATTCTAATCCTTTTATTTCTATCCTTGCTTCCTCCTCGATCCCTGGTAACCCCCTTAGGCGTCTGAAAGGTGGCCTCGTGATCTTCTAATTTAGATACTTTATTAGAATGGTACCAATGTATATTAATTTGTACATTTGTAAGTAAATTTTATCATAAATAGTAATAATAACAAAAAAAGCTTTGTAATAATTTATTGCTGTCATTTTCGCTGAATGCCAAAGAACTTTTAGGTAACTAGTTATCAAATCACATGCGGTTTGTACATGGAATGAGATACATATCAACTTATTTTGCAAAAACCCTCACCTTTATTAATATGAACTTAAAGTTTATTAAACAGGAAAGTTTTACGAAAATTGGGACATTTTAGATACAGTTGGAGTATAATAAAAAAAAAATAAATGGCAAATATAGTCCGTTGGACAGACAACTTTTTATCAAATTATTAACGACCGCCTGAAACTTTGTAAATAGCTTCATCTAATCTTAACCTAAAAATATTTTATTTCTGAAAATTGTCGGGATTGGTGTGTTTTCAATCTGAAGATTGTCAAATTTTCTTTATTTATTAAGGTACTAAAAACTCGTAAAAACTAATTTGCTTTCCGCTTGAATCGTAAGATAATTTGAGCACAAACTAGTCCGCCTTTATTTTTCTCGATTTTTTGATCAAATTATATTACGATCCAAGTAGAAAGAAAATGAGTATATACGAATATTTTTAACCTAATTTTGAACCTAAAGTTTGCTGACCTCCAGTTTGAAGAAAAAAAAAGAATTCCAAGAGATTCCGTAAATAAAATAGTTATAGGTTATGATGAGATCAAGCTATTCACAAAGTTACAGAGGGATGTTAATAATTCGATAAAAAGGAGTCCGTACCACCTACTAATGATTCATGATTTTTAAAAAATATTTTAGCTTAATTTATCCACTCAAACGTCCTCTTTAAATGGCAAACTTTATTTTCACACGAATTAAATTTTGTCAAGTTTACAGTAAAGCAACCGTTAATTATTTAAATTAAACATTTTTTTTTTAGTTGTTGCTTCCTATTAAATAAAAACGTGACACTTAAAAAAACCCAAAACTTAAATTTCCGTATATCCTGATGGAAATCATGGCATTGCTTATATAAACATATTTTTTGAGGTCTACTATGAACCCTATCTTATTGTCCTCTGCGTATAGGGACACCCTGTATAGTGAAGATTATTTAACCAATCAACAAACACTTACCTAATTGGAAGTCGACCTTCAGATTTTCGTTCGTATATGTGGCTTGCGACCACGTCCCTCGCGAAACCGAAGTCGGCAACTTTACAGGTGTGGTCAGCACTGACTAGGATGTTGCGGGCGGCTAAGTCTCTGTGGATGATCTGCAACAAAAATATAACATATTTAAAATATATATACTTTATAATATTTTTATTTATTTATTTATCAACCCTGCCGTGCCTAGTAGGCAATACGGGTGTCTGCAATAGTAAGATGTTAGGCAGGTCAGCTCAACATCTCACTGCTGCAAATGAATCTCGTTCTTCTGCTCGTTCTTCATTTTTTCCTCTTTCTTCATGGGTGCTTTCCTCATCCGTTTCACGCCAATGGTATAGCACCTCTTCCTCCTCTTCTTAAATTAAAATGGGCTGGCCCCACCGCGACTTTCCACCCGTACACAAAATCTTTGTAGTACGGGTAGTTTTCCGCAGTGACTAACTGAGGAAAATCGTTCTCTGTGAGAATGTAGAGACCGGTTTCCCTCAGTAACTTAGCCCTTAGTTCTTCAAATACTTTATAATATATGACACTTCATACGAATTATCATATTGTTATAATTAATTATCATAAATGACTGACCCCTTTACTGGAGAGGAACTCCATCCCTCTGGCCACCTGGTAACAGAAGGAAGTAAGCTGCCTGGAAGTGAGGGACCCACTTTTCCCATGGAGATTGTCGTAGCTCCTCTGGGCCCTCGAGCTGCGAAGAAAACTCTGCAGCTTACCCAAGGATACGTACTCCATGATCACGAAGAATGGTTCTAGAAACAAAACAAAAACATTTTAAAGATAAATAAATAAACGGTGGGTCCTTACGTATAAATCAGAAGACCGAGAAGGAGTATTGCGGGAGCAAACAGAGGATTTGAATTGAAGGAGTTCGGAGATGTATGAAGGGCGGTGGGATTGGATGACTTGTACCAGGAAAAATTCCAGGAAATACTTACGCCGGTAGGAAGGATAAAGCCATTTCAACTCTGCATAAAAATGGGAACCAGAGGCGTCCCTTGGAATCTCGAAGATGAATCGTCAAGGTGTTGGAAATTATAGTAATAGATAAATAAAATTTTAAAAAATAATGGCACGTACCCTTCTCAGTACAGCATCCCAGCAGCCGTACCACGTTGGGGTGTGGCTCTAAGCTCTTCATCACCTGAAGTTCCTGGAGCAAGTCCGTCCGTTCTCTCTCGCCAGCATTCTCCTTAAGCGTTTTAACTGCCACTATGGTAGGACCTTCGTTTCCTGTAGGATTATATATTTTAATTAAATAATAGAATATAATTAGCTATCATAATAACAGCAACGTTCCATTCAACGTGACATACCTGAAAGGTTGGTAGCTTCACACTTCCAGACCTGGCCGAAGCATCCCTCTCCAAGTATACTGAACACTTTTATCTGGTGCCTCGGGAATTCCCAACGATCCTGTACTTTTGCAGGAAGACCAGGAGCTTCCTAAAATATGTAAAAAAAGAAAGATTTTTGATTTTTTTTTTTCACTTACATCTGTCAGATATCAAAAGAGGATCCAAGAGGAAAAGGCGTTCAAAGGCAATGTAAAAAAAAAAAGTTTAGTGAAAGGATTTCTGGGGATTTCTCAATTTATTTGGTAATAAAGAGATACATCTGTCCTGCCCAACTACTGCTCCTTTATTGCGGCCAATAATTTAATCTGTAAACAAGTGTTAACTGGGCTTTGGATGGAAAAGTATACAATCCACAGTTGAGACAATTTTATTCGAATAACATATAAATAATATGTTTTTTGTTTTTTTAACTTTTTATCTTCACCCGGTAAAGGTAATTGATTGATCGGGAGAGGAGTGCCCAGCGGTATCCCTTTCTATCTTGAATTTAGCATATTTTTAAACGATGATATCCCTTATTTAGCTTCTTTTGAGCCTTCTGAGTTTGTTTTCGAGTATGTTTTTTTTTTTTTACTGAATATTAATACATTCTGGCACATTAAAGGGCATTAATATTAAGGCTACATGAACCATTCACACAATATGTACATACAAATAATAACTGAGAATACTAAAGAATAATAGAAATAATAATGAAAAAGAAATATAGAAAAATAAAATAAGTAAATAAATAATAGTAATAATAAAATTAAAATAACATCTTATACGCAGGCATACCTATTTACACTAGGGTATGTTAAATGTTTAGTCCGTGGTACAGACCCTTTTTTTTTATCGAATTATTAACATACGCCTGAAACTTCGTAAATAGTTTCATCTCATCTTAACCTACAACTATTTTATTTACTAAAACTCTTGGAATTGGGGCGTTTTCAATCTGGAGGGGGCAAACATTGTCTATTTAATTAGGTACTGAAAACTCGTAAATATCCACTTGATTTCTACTTGGATCATAGGATAATTTGATCAAAAAATCGATAAAAAAGGCAGTCTACAAAAATGTTGGGCTGTTTGTCCAATATAACCTCGTTTTTTTGAGAATTAGAGGGGGTAGGTCACGTTAAACGGCTCAATATTTTTGAAGGCCAACTTTTTTCTTGATTTTGTGATCAAATTATCTTACGATCCAAGAAGAAAGCAAATGGGTATTTACGAGTTTTTAATGCCAAATTAAATAGACAATGTTTGCCTCCCTCCAGATTGAAAACGCCCCAATTCCAAGAATTTTCGTAAATAAAATAGTTGTAGGTTACGATGAGATGAAACTATTTACGAAGCTTCAGGCGAATGTTAATAATTCGATAAAAAAGGGTATGAACCACAGACTATTAACCATATTTTCTATAAGTATGTTAGTATGTCTTTTGTAGTGTGTCCGTATCTGGTCGTTAACTGTTGACATTCGAAGGACTTTATGCAAAATAATGTCGATGACGTACCATGGAGTTTTAGTTTTAGTTGGTCCTGAAAGTTTCTGACTGAAAAGTTTGTAGTTTTCATATGTGGGTCGTTTTGGCTGTTCCGTAAATTTGTAACATGGACTTAAGTAGGTTAAGTTTTTAGTTTTTGTTTTCAGTTTAATTTTGGGCGTCTTAAGAGATGTGATGAGTACAATAGTCGTAGTCTGAGGTTTAATAATTTTTTTTTTAGTTGATATATGGGCTCTATGTTATTCTTCTGTCGATAATATGTTAATTTTTAAATGATGATTAATTTATTGATTATTCTTTGGAAGATAAACTTATCATCGTTATTTTAAAATTACTATAATGATAAAATAAAACCAATCACGAAGTTTTACAAGAGTGTTAGTGATTTAATAAAAATAGGTGATTAATAAAAAAATAATGTGTAACTCGTGAGGCATAAATAAAATACATAACATAGTTTGGAACTTTTAAAAAAAGTATCATTTATTCATTAAATTTAGAATTTCAGCCCCAATTGGAGGTAAACTCTCGACGCTTGAGGTTAAAACAGAAATTCTTTCCACCTTTTGAGGTTGAAGAAATATTGTCATAACAACCATGACGCTCATGAGTTTTTCAATACCAATTTATTGGTAGAAAAATCTGATTGTAAATAGAAAGTTGAAAAAAAAAAGGTTTTATTTAAATGCCAAAAACAAATTTTTCAAAGAGATATGGGTGTTTTGAAAGTGTATGGTAGACTTTGAGATTCGTGAGATTTTCTTCTCTTTACAAATACATATAGGCCACAAATATAATTATTATTCATTTTGTTTATAGTAATTTCAAACCGGAAATGAAGATGAACCTAAGAGATTTATCCGATTTTAGAACTTTTTCCGGTTGAAATATATGAACTTTTTAAAACTTAGGACAAGAAATATGATACATGAAAATGATAAATTATATTAAAAATAAATATATAATAGGAAAAATACTGCGGATTGTTAGATAAACGTTTAAAAAGACAATATTACGGCAATAGTATTAGCTTTTAGATGAGGAAGAAGTAAATAAAAAATAAGCTTATTGATCTTTTTGTCAGGTGAATTTATTTTCAATGAACTTTTCCTTATTAAATTCCTTTCATATCCTTACATTTTATAAAGTTTTCTTTAATACAATAATAATTAATAATGAAAATCTAATATTACGTCGTTAATAATTATGTAATGTGTATAGGAACTTTGAAATATGTGTTTTAAAGGTCTGTGAAGTGAGGAATGTTTTTAATACAATTTTTTTTTTTTTTTATAATAATCCTTTGAAACTAAAGTCTTAGTAGTAACATTTAATAATGGTTCTATGATAGGTACTTATTAGAGAATTTAATGAACGTGGGATAGAAGGAAATACAATATTAATTGGACTAATATTAATTATTATTATAATTAACTTTCGTAATTGCCTTAAATTGTAGTAACAAATTGGTTGCTTAAGGAATGTGATAATGCCTTGTTCAATTAACGATACTTTAGCTCTTTGATTAAATGTATAAATAATAATAAGTAATAAAATAACTAATTAATTTGTATAATAATTGTTATTTATCATCCATAAGAAAAAGCATTTTTTCTTAATAGCAGACGGAGTTTAGTAAAATGCCAACTCGATTATTTTTCACCAATCCATAATTTACCTCTAACTTAAAACCAAATGGAATGTGCTGTTTTTAATGAAAAGACATATCAAGGAAAATACATTTGCACTTAAATGTATTTTCTCTCTTAAGTAAAATTGATAAATCATAATTTCAATATTACTCTACTTTTCTATAACTTTCAGCCAAAATGAACAAACCATTTTTTGAAATAACGGCAAAACTAAAAATAAAAACAGTGATTTTTTTTTTGGCTCCGCCTCCTCTTTACCTTTAAGGCTATACGTGGTTTTCCCGGGTTAGGAGGTGTGGGCGACGATTTAAAACACTCCCCCGACACCGAGACGCGAACTCGTGACTATTTTATATCAATTGTCTCATATATCAGTGCTGTGGTACAAGCGTAAGCCTGTTCGGCCACACCGCCTGCAATATACCATTATTTATTTTGTATTTATCTGTTCTCCCATAGCCTTTTAAGGTTATTCGGGTTTTTTTCCGGGCCAGGAGATAAGGGCGAGGATTTTAAAAGACCCCCAGGCACCGAGACGCGAACTCGTAATTTTATTTTCTCCATGATTGGGTATCAGGTTGGCAGGCAACGGGCATTGCTGTGCACAAACGTTAGCTCGTTTGGCCACCTCGACCCCTTAGCAGTTTATATGGGAAAGATATTTTTGATTTTTTCTGATTTCTTTACAAACCTTTCAGATCTTTTGCCACTATGATCAGTTTTCTTCATCTATCTCTATCTATGGCTATTTCTTTCCAGTTACCTGCAAACAGGTCTATTGCATCTTTGTTGTTTCTGTCTATCTATCAGGTTTTTAGCCTTCCACGAGGTCTTTTACCTTCTATTGAGGCATTCATTGTTATGTAGAGATTTCTCGATTGGTTGTTCTGAGCAAGATGACCCACCCATCTTAATTTCCGTGCATTCATATCATGGGATATTGATTAAACAGTTTCTGTAGTAAGCAGTTCTTTATTGATCTTTCTCCTCAGTGCGTTAGTATTCGGAATGTATGGGGCAGTAGTGGATCGAATTTGAAAAAAAAACTTATATGAAACCATCCAGGTACTACCGTCCCGGATTAGTTCCAAAAATTTTATGTAAATTAGATTGATAGGTGATATTACCGTCATATGGATTTGATTACCAATAAATAGAACCGATGGAAGCAAATTTTTCCAAGAACGAAAAACACGTGTGGGTGTTTCCTGTTGTGGGCATAAAATATTTTTTAACCTCTTAAATGAACAAAAGAATATGAATAAAAACCTTACTAAACTTTGTTAGTAAAGAAGTAAAAATATAAAAAGAAATAAATGAGAAAAGAAAAAGAACTATTTATTTCTGTGATTGATATAGAGAAGATTTTTGTTTCTGAGATTTTTTAAATATTATTTCTCTCTAAATATGTATTCGCACCTGCCATGGTATTGACAATCAACAGATGTGTGAGATAATTAAATCCATGTGCAAAAGCACTTCAATTTGTTGACTGACGAAACGTGTATATGGATCAAAATATCTCAGAAACTATGATTCGGACCTGGATACTATAGACAAGGAAAAAGTTCTGCATTTCATCTTCTTTCTAATGACCTTTTCTTTTTTTTTCTTTTTTTTTTTTCCTTCCCTTACTCGCCTTAAAAGCTATACGGGAGCGGGGATTTAAAAGATTCCCCCGGCACCGGGACGCAAACTCTATTAGACTCGTGACTATTTTAAAATCCATTGTCTCATATATCAGGTTGCCGGTCAACGGCGGTGCTGTGCACACACGACAGCTCGTTCGGCCACCCCGCCCACTCTTCTTTCTAATGGCCTATTATTCAAATTTTATCTTGACGCGACGAAGAGAAAATTTGCTTAAAATTCCCAAACAATTTTTTGAATGCGTTCAAATGTCGCTAAAACCTTAAATCAACCTGTCTCAGCTGACAGACGAGCATTTTTCTAGTACCTAAGCGGAGTACTATCAGGGTGAAAATTTGCTTAAAATACTACGCCTTTTTCGGAGCTTACTCCACGGTCTAAAACCTAGTATTTCTTTGGACAATGCCGGTTTTTCAGTGGTGGCATACGGCAAGTACATGAAAACGCTATTCGCTATTCAATATAATATATTTAATATAAATTTAATATGTGTTAATTTCGATGTATAATGAATCATACAGGGTGTTCCGTAATTACACGGCACTATATGTTTACTAACACAAAATAAAGAAAAAAGTTCATATTAACACATATCTCAAAAACATTTATTAAACAGATATCAAAGGTTAAAAATTTATTATTCATTATTACTATTTATTTATCGTTGAATTTGAACCGTTTTGTTGAAAGCAACATTTAGCACGACGAACCCATGCTTCTCTGGCTCTTCGTATAGCATCAGGATGGTGCTTGATGGTTACTGTGGCATCCACGATCCGATTTCTAAGCTCTTCTTGCTTGGCAAATGCCGCAGAATAAATCATAGACTTCATCCAGCCCCACAAAAAATAATCTAATGGCGTTAAATCCGGAGATCATGGTGACCATTTAACAGATATATTTCGACCAACATATCGGTCTCCATAAGTTGCCTTTAAATAATCAGTGACACTATTTAAAAAGTTAGCTGGAGCAGCGCCATGCATAAACCAAAGCCTTTGCCTAATGCCTAGCGGAACATCTTCTAAGATTTCATGAAAACTATTTCGTGAAAAATGAAAAATGCAAGTAAGATATACCTGACAGCCTAGGTGGCAAAAAGAAGGGGCCGATGATGTTGTCGCTTAGAAGACCACACCATACATTTAAAGAAAAGGTATGTTGGTAATGTCCAACAGCAGTCGTATGAGGGTTTTCTTCAACCCAAGTATGGGTATTTCCAAAATTAAGAATCCCGTTTCTTGTAAAGCAAGATTCATCAGTAACCAAAATGTAGTTCAGGAAGTTAGGATCTCGTGTGCATTGTCCAATTAACCACTGAGAGAAATTTCTGCGCTTGTTATAATCTTGTAATAACAAATCTTGCCTACTCGATAAGTGAAATAGATGCAATTGTTCTTAGGGTAAAGTTCGACATGATCTGGTAGAGGGAACATTGAAACGACGTGACATTCTTCTGGTAATCATAGTAGGAGATAACTGAACGGCATCGAGAATTTCTTTTTCAACGTTTGCAGTTCGTTTAAATGTTTGTCGACCGGCGTTTACTCGTATAGGTTTTAGCGTGCCATTATCCCTAAGGCGTCTTTCAATGGCTTCTAATGTTTCACGATTTGGTATTCTTCGGTTAGAAAATTCTCTACGATATCTCCGAACAGCAGCAGCACCGTTTCTATGTATCTTGCCATAAGTTAAAAGCATGTTTGATTATTCTGCAGAAGTGAATAAATTTATGTTGTCTCCTATGATAATCATAAATTGAACTGTTTCACAGTATTTACTCACATTAAACACACAGAGAACAAGACAAACAGATGAGCAACTACTGTTATTGCTTATCGTTTATTTGTTTATCAGGCGAGTAAAACCTATTATTTAGTATTGAACACGTTACACTTTGTACAGTCAGTCTTAATGTAGTAAATTAATAATAAATCTTTAACATTTGATATCTGTTTAATAAATGAGTTAGAGATATATGTTAATATGAAATGAACTTTTTTGTTTATTTTGTGTTAGGTAACACGTACCTAAAATAGTGCTGTGCAATTTCGAAACACCCTGTATATTATGTCATTCATAGTACAACAAAATCTGATTCTCAGTTAAGTAAAATTTTTATCCTTTTATTTTAACTCTCGTCGCAAAGAATGAAGCTTCATCAATATTGTGTGTAGTTTTGACCATCTTGATAATATTACATTGTTGATACTAATAAAAATGTTTGACTGAACTAGCTTACTCTGACAAAACACCTTGAAGGACTTGATGGCAAAACATATTGGCTGAGAGGACATCCTGAAGGACTTGATGGCAAACCTTATTGGCTGAGAGGACATCCTGCAGCACTCGATTGAAGAGAATGGTGACTATCCTGCAGGACTCGGTCGAACGTGCTACCGTTACTTGCCCCGCTCGACAGCCCCTCGTCATTGCCAACAGAATGTTCTCTTCCACAACAATGGAGTTTTTCTTCAGCACTTCATCTTTAGGAGCGTTACTTATACAATGTTAATAAGTCTTTTTAAGTATGATATAGAATTCATATCAATCTTCCTTCATCGCTCACTACAATTGTTTTGTATTTACGGGTATAATCCATCGAGACCTTTTTCCTTGGATATATATCCTTTTCTTTGATGCATTAAACATTTAAGCGTCAGGGGAACATGTTTATTTATTTATACTATACGATACTATTATAATACTCCATTCAAACATACATAATTGTGTACCTACATCCGGCGACTGTTAAATTAACAATTTACTTGAGTAGTTATAAATTAACAATTTCCTCAATGACCCTCACGGTTAGAGGCAATAACCTTCTAAATATTTTTTTGAAATGTTTTCTACCAATAAATTGCTTTCTCACAACCGAAAAAAGGAAAGCATTGTATTCTTGCGGTCGAAAAAAACATTTTTTTACTGAGAAATGAAAATTCCCATTCACGTTTTACGTTTCAGAAATCAAGTATCAAATTTCTTTCGGTGTATGTCTGTAGTATAATCGATGTGACGAGTATATCACCTACTATCCGATTATATACTGTTTATCCGATTTTTATGCAAGTTTCAGGTATTGTGCAGTTCATAGGCTAAATGATCCCATATTAGTTTATTGAAATTCCATAAAGTACTTTTGGTTGCGCATGCGCAAATGTATTTTCTTAAATATACCAATATTTAAGAAACGGCCCAATCGATGTGGCTCAAAGTAGATAGAAATCTGAGAATCGGTAAAACAATGACACTGTAATCATTTTATTAAATTTCATACAGTACTTCTAGTTGTACCCACGAAAATGTATTTTGTTAGATATAATAATAAATTGTAAACAGCTCGTTTGATTTGGCTCGAAATTGAAAGAAAAGTGAGAATTGGTAAAGTAATGACGTTGTATCCATGTTATTAAATCTCATATATTACTTCCAGTTGCGTACGAGCAAATGTATTTTTTAAGATATGCCGAGATTTCAGAAAGGGCTCTAGAGGACAGGTGAGTAGTATTAGTAGTACTAGACCTTGAGAAATAGACAAGTGTGGGACCAATAAAAATGGTGAGAAAGCTATACTGGCCTCACTTGGATTTTTGGGGAATCTAACTTCATTTTATGTATTTATTTCTAAATATAAAATTATATTACCACTCATATTTAAAAACACCTACATATACAATTCATTTGGTTATTAGCGTTTAATATATAATACCATACATATTAGATAAAATATTGTAATTTTTATCGTTGTGGAGCCCTACCTGCTGTGGTACAGCTTCCGATAGTTGCGTATCCCAGGCGGTGTACCTGTTCGAGAAGGCCCTGGGGCTCTGCCATTGATGAAGCATCATCGGTTCTTCCCCACCAGCTACTAGTCCGGAAGAATTCTTCTTTTTCTAAAATTACAAAATGGAAATGTAAATTTAATATACTTAGACAAAACCCTACTCTAAATTAGATAGACGAAAACCAAATATTCATATTGTGTTTTAATTAACTACAAAATACAACATAAATTTCTACATAAAGTCTTATAATTTAAATAAGTGATGTTTTAAAGTTACAAAGAGCTGTGAGAATTATATCGCAAGCTTAAGTCATACGAGTGCAACATAAATGAAATATATATATATATATATATATATATTATATATATATATATATATATATATATATATATATATATATATATATATATATATAAATATCTGTCGTATATATATATACAGGCTAACATATTTTCCTTACTGCTTTGAGTGTCCGATACAAACACTATTAGGAATTTTTACATTATAATATTATTGTTTTGCATTTTTCATAATCCCTAATTTACTTTTTTGATGTGTTTTACAGTCTCAAAATTACTAATTTTTCTGATTATCAGTAGTAGGGCTCCCCAGATTCAAGATTAATTCAAGGTTAGAATTCCGGCCTATGGCAGATAAATTATTTATTCTGTGTCATCGGTCGTGGGTCGACTCTGGAGTCGGGAGATCCTCCTGGGGCTCTCTCAGTTTCTTTGAAGGGGGTGCCCTTAACTAAATAATTGATTGAGATGGGAACCAGGCGGTTGAGAGTGATCTCAGACAAATCAGTATCGTTACGCCGTTGCCCAAGAAACAGTACTTTCCAAAAATAGTGCTGAACCCAGGACACTTCATGGGTTGTTAGTAGTACAGGTTTATAGAATAGAATAGAAAAATAATTTTATTCTGGGACGATTCCCTTCAGAATAACAACAAAGTACAAAATTAAAGTATTATATCTGGCCTAAGTAAAAACAAACATAAAAAGTCAAAATAAAATTAAAAAAAAGTTATATATAACATTTTCCGAAATTTGGTTATTTTCGTTAAAAACTCGATTCGAAAATATTCACGATCGCAATACTGTCCCTTACTTTACTCTATAAAAGGAAAAAATGTCGCAACCAACCACACCGATGGAACAGTTGTGGCAGTTCTTAGGGTCGATAGTGACAGGTTCAAAAATCGGCGAATAAAATGGTCTAAAATCACGTTTATTTTATTATATAAAAAAATAAATAAAATCTGGAAACACTTTAATAATTTATAAATAATAAGGCAGTATGACATCTATAGTTATTACAACAGTCTTCATATTACAGTCAATCAAAATATGAATATTAATTAATGACATATCAGGATCAGCGAAACAAAAACCTTAAAATATATTCTTCAAGGATAAATAAACATTTGTGGAAGAATCAACATTCGATCTTCCTGAAACTTATCTGGGCAACCGAAGGCAAAAAGTTTCTGGTGTAGGAAGTTGTGACACATTATAGTGGCAATATTCACATGGTATAGTGAATAAACATGTTCACTTTTTGAGAAGAAACTTGAAGGAAAATTTTGTCTAAAAAACAAATTTTGTTTTTATCAGGATAGTGACCAAACAATCTGTTATATTAGTTAAGGAATGTCTGCTTTATAATTGTCCCAAAGTTAGAAAAACACTACCTGATCTTAATACTGTAGAACACCTTTGGAAAAATTGGAGGTAGAAATAAGAAAACACGAAATTTCTGACGATGAATAAGACTAAAAAAAAATATCTCCTCAAAGAATGTAACAGGTTAAGCCCAGAATCACCAAAAAATTGGTCGGTTCTATTTCAAACAAACTGAAAAGAGTGGTAGAAAATAACAGCTTGCCTACAAGTTATTGAACTCAATTATTTTTAATATGAGTATTTAAAAGTTAATAAGATGTAAGGTGTATCATTTTGACAATGAGGTAAAATTATCCGTATTATCGTATTATTTTTTTTTAAATGACAGATAAATATTTGTACATATTTAAAATGAGGTTATAGATAAATCTGTTGAAAAGTTTCTGGTTCTATTTGTTTACTGTAACCAAACTGCATTTCTGCTATTTTTCTACGGCGTGCATCAAGTTACTGCCATGCATGTACATCAATGAAACAATCGTTCAAAAAATCGGATAAAAATACTTACTTTCGTTTGTTAAAAGCAAATGAAGGGCTCTGATAACTTTAACGTCGCGCATTTCTAACAATACTGTTAAATACGTTCGAAAAGGCACGCCACCTCTTTCTCTCATTGATCCTATCGCCTATTCCTTTGTTTTCGCAAATATGGCGACTGTCAAACAGTATACTGGCACAATCGTACCCAGCGTTCCTTATATTTACGACTTTTTTTAATTATAAGTTTAAAGGTTTCAAGAATAATAATTCAACTTACAAGATCTTCTTTGGTCGGCTTCTTTTTATTCTTGCATATCCTCCTTCTGAAGAGGAAGGCAATGACCGCTAGTACTCCTAGGGCGAGACAAAGCATCACCACGGGTAAGAAGGTGAGGACCAGTTCTGTGACGTTGGGCCTCGGGTTTGGACCAACAGAAGAAGGAGTCACTACCACTGGAGGACGAGGAGGTGGCTTATGCTTGGGATCCGGGAGATCTTCCTTAGATTCGGAGTCCTGCTTCTTGTGTTCTTCTTTCTGCCTCTTTGCCTCCTTCTGGATAGCTTCGATCAGCGGAGGCGGTGGTAGTTCCGGTGGAGGCGGAGGAATCAACGGCCTATCTTGAGGGTGCGATCTGAAACAAAAAACATTATCGTGAGTCGTGGTAGTTTTATGATCTACACTATATATCACTTGGTAACATAAATTCCTTTTCTATCACTCAGGAGCAATGAATGAATGAAGTATCAAAAGAAATGGAATTCTAGGAAGAAATGACGAATCCCAATTTTGATTTTTAAATTCCTTCAACTATTTTTATCACCACCTATGCCGATGACACATATCAGTTAATAGCGATCCATCAATATTACCCCAAACTGTTTAATCACATCCCACAAACCTGGAGCAATGGTGTCAAAATTGGAGAATTAAAATAAATTTCATCGAATTACAATTACCATTTTTCGTAAACCTATGACTTACTAACCTATGATATCCTTTATCAATACTTCACTTATCCCTGTTGAACGAATCCGATAGCTAGGAATCCAACTGGATAAAATTCTAACTAGGAATCCTGATATCAGATTGAAATGATAAGAAACGGCTCGACATTTCCAACTAAATAGACAAACATTCTAAGCTTTCAATTAATTACAAAGAGCTCATTTATATGGATATATTCCTATTTGGACCTACATATATTCCTATGGATTAATATATGCCTATTTGGACTTACGAAGATGAGCTTCGGGGTTCCACTAAACCATCCAATTTCTCACGTATCCAATCCTTCATAAAATCCTCAATGCTCCTTACTTTGTGACAAATAAAATCATACATAACGACCTTAATATCGCACATATTTCCGAATCGGAAATTTATTTTACTTTTTTGAAAAATAATTTAGTTATTAAATAAATGGAAATTAAACAGTAAATAAAATAGTGAACCAAAAACATTCCGTTAATTATTTCAGACATAACTCATTCAGAAATATACGCCTTTGTAGCAATGAATGTTCAATTCAACTCAACGTCTATGACGATTAGTGCAGAAAAGCCTTGATGAAAATTTCTCACTTGCTTAGAATAAATAAGTCCATTACTATAAGAGATTATAAAATCCATACCTGGATATTTTTTTTATTTATTAAATATACGAATGAGGAAAAATGAACAGAAGAAATATCATTAAGTTTCTTTCTATATTTTCCGAAGTTCTCAAGGAATCATGGAGAAGACTAACCTAAGAAATAGTATTTTAATTTTAAAATCCTATACACTTGATAAGTATTCCTAGCAATTATCATTATTTATTCGAATTTCGCATAGTTTGAATCAATCTTCTAATTTAAATAAGTGATGTAAAGTTAGAAAGGAGCGTGAGTATTGTATCGCAAGCTTAAGTAGCTGTTAATTTCCCATTTTCAACAAATATGTTATATTTACAATATAAAGTAGAAGGATCAGAATTGAACCTTGGGAAACTCCTCCTAAGAACGCCTGATTTCAATAAAAGGTAGAATATTAAAGAATAAGATATTACGTTTATCATAGAATAGTCTTAGATTTAAACAGAAGACCCTGGGCATTTGATAGTACTCAAATCTTTTAAATTTATTTTCATTTAAAACCTACAAAACCGAATATAATTCCTGCTCAAATTGGGCTTGTAAATATTTAAATATAACACCGAGTATTAAATTATTGAACAAAAGACCCTACCTATTTTAGACGATCCGACCTAAATTGTGTAAAAGTGGACTGGGCATCGGATATTGAAAGGGAACTCCTCACGTAAGGTTGTTCAGATGGCTCCACCAACATTTAGCCTAGCGTACGTTTCAGAAGACTCTTTCGAACAAATCGGATGGGCTAAGCTCCCAATTTTTCCGATCGTATCCTTACGACTAAAAGTTCTGCTACTTTAAATATTTTTAGTAGCATTCACAGAAGTAAACTAAAATATTTTTCAGCAATATTACAATATTACAATGTATTGCATTGTATAACAATATACATACATAAAATACACATACACTACAATGTATTACCATTTTACAATTGTAACAATATTACAACGCGTGTTATCTTATTAACTTTTCAATTCCTGTATTTGTTAACCTTTAGTCTCGTTATCTGTTAACCTACTGTAGCATATTCTAAATCTTATATTTTGGATGTTTTAGGAGAGTATAAATTAGTTCATATCTTCTGTTGCAATTTAACTGTCTAGATCATATTATTTTAAAAAGAGCATATGTCCTACCGACTGCGCCACTATTATATTTTTAAATACAATTCAAAATAAATGTTTTAATTCATTTATTAAATCATCCAAAAACTTGTTCACATTTTTAAAATAATATGATTTAGACAATTAAATTACAACATAAAACATGAAATAAGTTACACTCCCCTAACACATCCAAAATATAAGATTTAGAATATGCTACACCTACATTTATCAATTGTTACCTACACTATCTTGTTATCCACTAATATCTTATTATTATGTTATCTTATTCTTATTTTAGCTTTATTAAGGCATTATTTGTTCATTTTTTCAATTCCTTTATTCGTCACCTCTCATTTTCTTTATCTGTTAACCTACAGTTATCAAATGTAATCTTTACCACTTTGTTTTACACTCGTTTGTTATCTTTTATCACAATCTGCTTACTTTTAACACGCTATATTCTCGTTAGTTCTATATTTTTATTCATACTTATTTTCTATTTTTGTTTGTATCTTCTATATATATATAATACTTGATATTTCATTTTATTTAACAGTGATAACTAAACTGTCATCCACAATATCGCTGATGTCATCTCATTATTTCTTTATCAGACAACTGTTTCTTATTTAATATCTACTTATAATTCATTTATTTTATTTTCACCATGTAACTTTTATAATTCGTATCTTGTGTAGCCCTGAAGAATACCTGCAAGGTGGGTCGAAACGTCGGCGTAACAAGTAAAAATACTATTTTTTAAAAATTTAGTACTTATTTGACTGCACACCTTCCCTACGCGACCAACTCCTTCTCATAATTTTTTTTTTTTAAATAATAGCAGCGATGTTATTCGGGTCAATATTTCTTAATTATCAAGCTTAAAATAATTGTATAGGTTTTCATCTACTTAACATGGACAAATTAAGTTTCCTACGATCAATACATACCATATTATTATTCAAATAAAGAAAATAATAGTAGTCATCTAAAACTTATTTTATCGTTTATCCAAGTATCTAAGAGTTTAATGTAAGTAAAATGAATGGTGTGCGAAAGGAGTTTTGATCTGAAATAAATAAATCAGGTATTGAAATATGTTAATTGAATCTAGAGTTAATATCAACCATGGATGTTTTCGGAAATAAAACAACGTGTTTTCCTGTTGAATATAATATACCAGCTTCAATTAGAGGCTCAGTTTTATTTTAATGATAATTAACACGGAAAATGAACTTCTTCGTAAAGCAGGAGGAAAATCAAATACAAAGCCACTGATAATGAAACGAAGCAGACGTTTTAAATTCAAATTAAATGTATATAATTATAAACCAAATACGAAAATAATTTCTTTACCTTTCATTATTTTATTTATTTTTCAGGAGTAATTATTTATACCTCTGTTTCTAAAGGTGCGTTTACAAGGATGCCCATCCCCCCTCCATAGCCGATAGCGCATGTACCCTCCCCCCCAAAAAAAATATTATATCCTTTACTTATATAATCAATATGTATATATACGAGATGTAATATAAAGTTTAAAAGATATTAGATAAAACATTGGTTTGTTTCTCGTGAATATTTAAGGAACAATACATTAGCGAATTACAATCAACAAGTAACATCAGTGATATTTTTAGAGGAGGCAACGGCTTCTCCCATCTCTTCTCTGCCTATGCCCATTCCAGGGATTTATTATTTTGTTTTAAAATATTGTTTTCCCTTTTTAATAAGAATTTCATCTGAAATAATTGCGTGAGCGTTGTAAAAATGGGGTGTATAATTTTAAAATAGGGGAGGTGCAATAAATTTGATGATGGATAAATTATTCCTTATTTCCTAATTATTTTCTTTTAGAATTTTGAAACGACCTCTCACTGATGAGAACATTTCATAAGTCTTTTATTTGTTACTACTTTATTTTAAATTTCTTTCGGTGTTCCATAGTCAAAGACAAGGCATAAGTTGTATTATATATATATATATATATATATATATATATATATATATATATATATATAAGATAAAGACCGGAGACCGGCGATATCAGCCTTAATGCCGTCCTGAATGTAAATAAACATATGAAATGTATATAAGGAGGATTACTAAAGGAATAAATCAGTATCTATTCTGAAACCGTGAGTGTTGCATTTCAAGCCCTTTCCTTTCTTTTTTTTTATTGTTAGAGTCCGCCGACGCTTAACTGGTGCCGAAACCCGGGACTACGACAGGAGAACAGAGAAGTAATTTTTTTTTAAAAGTCATTTTTTTTTCTCTCGGTTTTTTTCTTCTCCTAGTCATAAGGAAAGAGTGAGATGCCAACAGAGGGCTTAATCAGGCCGGGAGTGTTGAGCGCCCCGGAAATCCCTCAACCTCAAGAAATTCCGCAGATACCTCAGATCGCGCAGGCCCCTCAGGTTCCTCAGATACCTCAAATACCTCAGGTACCGCAGATCCCGCAGATCCAGGAGATCCCTCCCTTACCGAGGGACACATTGGCAGAAGCGCACGCTAACGCGCTGGAATGGATGAAAATAAGAGCGGCGACCACGCAGGACCTACGAAGAGCCATTGCGGACCTGGAACGCTTCGGTGGCGAGGTAGGTGAGCTTAATCATTTCCTGAAAGGCGGAGACCGCCTCATGTCTAGAATAGAGGTAAAGGTGGCGGAGGACCTGGTAAACCTAGGGGACGCGGAAGCATTGAAAGCGGCTCTGGTGTGCCGAGTAAGGAGGAACATCCTGAACCAAATTCAAGCGGACGAGGAAACACCATGGCCGGTGATTAAGGAGCGACTGAAGAAGGCCTTCGGAGGAGGCAGATGGACGCCGGAGGAAGACATCTTCTAAATGTTTAGGGAGCGCCGGTCCCAACGTCAGACGAGGGGCCAGT